TTTTTTTTTTTTTTTTATGGCATAAGCCGGTAAACGAGCAGACGGATCACCTGATGGAAAGCAATCGGCGTCGCCCATGGACACCTGGAACACCAGAGGCGTTACAAGTGCGTTACCGGCTATTTGTGGATTAGGAGTTTGAGGATTGTTGGGGATTCAGGGATTGGGGAGATTGGGGAAGGGGAGGGAAATTGGGCCTCCGGTAACCTCACTCACGCGACGAAACACAATGCAAGCGTTGCTTCACGTCGGTTTTCTGTGAGGCCGTGGTATCACTCCGGTCGAGCCGGCCCATTCGTGCCGAAGCATGGCTCTCCCACACTTAAAAAAATGACTGACTCAGGAAAAACATCTCGTAAGATTTTCCGGAATAAACAATGCTTATTGAATTAAAAGTTTAGTTGTTCGAACTATAGTGTTTAACACATTTTTTTAGAACATCGAACCCATATAAAAAACATAGAACATATTAAAAACATCACTTTAATTAAAAGCATTATGAAATATTCATACAAAAAGCGACATAAATTATAATTCTAGCGTATTAATGCGAAATAATTTCTGAAGCTAATGACAATTGGGGCTATTAGCCTCATGGCATGGCACCATGTAATCAATAGCTAGTGCAATGAACTGCAATGCAGTCACTGAACGTTTACCTTCAAATAAGTATATACATACATAGTGTACTAACATTATATTTCCTAGCCAGTGCACGATTGAGTCGTACTACCATTTATTATTTAATTCCTATTAATCGTCGATTCATTCTTTGTAGTTTTTTACTCGAAGAATGGCTTAATGAAAGAGTGTGGTTTATAGAACAGTATAGTTATTGTACGTTCACATAAGGCGGTGTTCCAAGATTTTTAGGGAAGTAGGACAAAAAGACGTTTAGAAGATTTCCATGTATCCAAGATGATGATGTCACGTCATTATAGTATAGGTATTTTAATGTTCACGTACTCTATCCTTGTATACCATTAATCAACGTTTCATATACAAAATCTTATTTTCATATCACTTGAATATTATTTTGCTTAAAATTGCTACATTTTGATCTTCCCTCAAAGTGCTTTTTAATACTCGGGGTCATAATTCCTAATAAAAATTTCGCCTCGGCTCACACCTACGCTAAAAATTAAAAATAAATAATTTATTAAATTCATCGTTATATTTATTTAGATAATCCTATTTACTCTACTTTTAGTAAGTCATTTATATTCTTCTTCTCCTGTTTCAGACCCATTAAGACGGGGTCTATACGGTGACCTGTGCTCCACAATAGAGGACTGTCACTTTCCGGACGCGATATGTGACGACGTTCAGAAGACATGCCACTGCCACCCTGACGTGCCAATCAGCAACTACAAGGACAAATGTGGGAAACGTAAGTTTATTTAATTATTTATTATACACTAGCAAACCCGGCGAACTCCGTTTAGCCACCAGATGGCTTCATTCGTAACATTTCGTTTGGTGATTAAAAGATGAAGAATTTTTTTTTGTTTTATATATGCCATTAACCTCACGGCGCCCAAGAACTTACCTTAGAATGCAAAACCGTCGAAATCGGTTCATGCGTTCTGGAGTTATAGCGTCAGGAAGGAAAACCCAACTTATTTTTATATTATACATATATGACTCAATATTATTGATTACAAAATATCACTTCCCACGTCCCGCGATTTGTTCTTGCAAACCCCCGGATGAATGGGAACTTTTCTCTCGGGTCTCAAGCTTCTATTTATCGTAGCATTATGTTTAAAAATTAAATGGACTATCCAACACAAAAAGATTTTTTCAAATCGAACTAATAGTTCCTGAGATTGACGCGTTCAAACAAACAAATAATCAAACTCGTTCAGCTTTATATAATAAGGATGTATGTATAGAATTTATGGTAAGATCAGCCGTCCTCTATCTTTAAGTAAAAAGAAAAATAGAATACTCACATTTTTTCTATACACAGATATATTTTTTTTATCAAACAATGAAAGACAATTTCTCGTAGGTACTTAAAAATAGGTTCGTTCATGTTTCCGACAATGCGAGTGGCTTGGTCATAATAGCATGTACATTTTTGAGTCATACTCATACAGACCCAAGGGAGTCTTACATTTTACTCTTATGCACTGTAGAAATGGATGTTTAGGAAAATTCATTGTAAGCTCGGTATGTTCTTTAGAATAAATTATGCAGATTATTGTTGCTTTTACTGCCATGCCATTTCGTGTTTCATTGCAAATAATTCCATGAAAAAATACTCAATAGTATATCTCAACAGTGTTTTGAATTCTTGAAATTTTAGTGTAAGGTTGGCTTACGAAAAGTTATTTAATAAAAATATTCTTGGCAAATTCTAGAATTGAATTTAGATGAGGAAAAATTTAATCTATTGGATATTGAAGTAGATGAGAGGTCAATTATTTAGCAATCCTTGTCGAGAAGTTAGAGAAAAATTGATTAATTTATCAATTGATTGATTTATCAATTTTATAAATAAAGTCTAAATTTTTTATGAAAATCAAGCAATAATGTATTTCAAGGTGGCGTTGAGAGAAACATGCTTCTCAACATTGTCTAATTTAAAACTTTCGTCAAACACGCTTTAGAAGTGCATTATGAAGCGTGTTTGAAAGTTGTTGTCAGCACAGTGTAGAGACCTGTGTTTGTGACTAATAAACTTTAATGGCTGATTCAAAAAGTCAATTAAAACTTTGTCACAGTCAGTCACATGACGTGTCAGCTAATGTGTTTTTTATTCTGTCTAATCTAAGGTAATTCGTGATAGTGTCAGTTCTTAGTAAAATCGTTTCGTTTTACGTAGATTGTGCTACTCACGTAATCATGTATCGTTCTTCAACAAAAAATTGGTAATCCTCTCTTTGTTATTGTAATTTACACCCCGAAACCAGCTTGTTACTCTGGGCGTGTTCAGTGCCGCGTTTAGCGGCGTGCGATTCAAATTATTGTCGAGATATTTAAAAACGGCTAGACGATTTGGCAATGCGTACAGATGTAGCTACATCTCTGTAGAAGATTTCGCGATAGACGATGCGCAATGAAGCTTCATTGTGCATCTTCTATTGCTTGTACCACGGAGAGTGATCCGAAAGCTATGAATTGTTTGGTTAGACACGTACCGCGTCATTTCGCCATCGGCTCACCCGCCAGCATTTTTATCCCCATCGTATATATCGTTGGCAATGGTAGGCCGGTAATGCACCTGTAATTCCTTTGGTGTTGCGGGATGTCGATCGCCTACCATCAGGTGATCCGATTGCTCGCTTGACTCCTATACCTCTATCATAAAAAATTGGGGTAGTTTAATAATAAGTAAACTATAAATCGCCACATCTAGGAAATACGTTGTTTTATAAATAGCTGAAAGCATTTGAAAAATATTGAATTAATAAGACTGCCTCGTCGTCCGAGTGGTCGCAAGTGCGACTCGGCTAGGGGTCTCGGTTTCGATTCCCGGGTCGGGCAAAGTATTACTGGGTTTTTTTATAAATTCTTAGTAGTAGCACGGAGTCTGAAATTGAGCCCGGTATATGGCAATAGGCTCACACCCTATTACATGGGACTCATAGCATTACATTACATGGTACAGTGGCATAATGTACACCTTTGTCTACCCCTTCGGGGATAAAAGGCATGATGTTATATTATCTTATGCATTAATAAACAAATAAAACAACTCACAACTCATAAAAATGCTAATTTATGCTCACGTCTACAATACTATGAAGTCATGATTCTCTTGAAATTACCCTTTCTTAGAATTAAAATGGTAATCAAAAGTTTTTCTTGCATGAAGCTATGATTCATTCAGAATTAGCACATGACTGACTCTCATTTTCTAGAAATACTTTTCATGACTCAACTTTAAGTAAAGCTTTTGTTAATACTAAGTCACTGCAATATTTACATTCTCTTGAATTCATTTATGAGCCTTATAAAATAACATCAGAGAAAAAAGGATTAACATGAAATCATGAACTTGAATAAGTTTAATAATAACTACTTACACTCATGTGATCTTAGAAAATATTATTTTTGTAGAAAAGTTTCTACAAGACTTAATATGATCTATAAGATTAAATAAGCTTCTATAATCTTTAAGAAAATCTGCTCTTTATAAGATACAGCTACAAAATCACATCATTATACCGAGATAAGACTTTCCACTTAGGTTACCGGTACAGTTGGGTTGTAACAGGTCAAATACGATTCCTATTCTTTTGTAACCGTTCCGCAAAAATAACAGTTCTCAATACCTATTACTAACAAACAGGTATTGACAACACATCACATTCTATTCTTTTATATATCTGTTAATTCCAGTAACAAGTAATGTCAAAATAAAAGATTTGTTATTCCACTATAATAATGAGTTGAGCTGTGACTGTGAGAACATTTGTTGTCGGTAATACCTGATATTTGTACCTGTGACGATATTTAAATGGTCCTCGCGTCCAGAGACCAAGTCACCCGATTCATTCAAAACATTCTTGTTTATGACAAATCGTTCATAAATAATTCAATAGGACATGAGATTTCTAGAGTAAACAAACGTTTACAAGGATACTAAAGACTTTGACTTGACTTTATGACTTCCATTGTTCTAGTATTTTTGCGAGAAAGACTTTTTTGTATTACGATTTTAAGAATATTCTATTCAAGGGTTTGTGTTATATCTCTGTTCATGTACTAATAAGTTTTGTTTTCTTATGTAACTAAAATAGCAGCGTTCTATGTTCTATCAAGCTTAGGTAAACACATCGATAATTTTAGATACAATTGTGGTCCTTAATTATAATATAGTTATGTTATGTATAATTATAGACTATTGTAGGTTGAGGATTGATTTCTATTTGCGATATTGTTATTGTAACAATAGTGGTTGGTTAGCCAAGACTTTTATACCACTCAGTATCATTTCATATATTGCAAACTTTCTACTAAGTTAATGTTCCCTACAAATTACCTTCTACTTTTTTTATGAGCGGGGAAAATCAGCTTCTCTCGTCTTGGGTTAGGCGAGAGGGAGTGTCAGACTCTTACTGACTAAATCACAATTAAAAACCACCTCGTTACTACTCCTGCTCTACGAGCTGGAGCCCCGGCAACCCGATAGGTCTTCCGCGGCTCCGTATCGGGCATCAGCCCCTTTGGATGGGGCCCAAACCAAAGGGGCTGATGCCCGATACGAGAGCCTGTGGTGGTCTGATGGCTCTTTGAGGCGCGCGCGGAACGCGACGCGCCGTAATTTACTTCTACTTAAGACCATAATTGGGCTTCAAACGTTAGTTTCTAGCCGGTGGTATAATTACTTACAGAACTTAAGTGTGCACCCCCAACCTGACCTTTCAGCAAAACTTAATATTAAGGAAACCCAGATCGATGTTGCGAGTCTAATGCATGTCGCGTGTCCCGATATTATGCAGTAGTTTCAACGTCCTTGGCTTAGTAAGGGGACGGCGAAACAAAGGATGTCGCATGCTTTGTGTTAAATATTAACAAATAATTTTCATGCAATAATTGCTGCCGTGCTACTCAAATTAACTTAAATAAAATTAGACCTTATTGAATGCATTTGTGTCAGCTTAGAATTGTCATGCTCTCTCAAAGATCTCATTGGCGGTGGGACGTGCATTGGCTCACTCGATTTCCTACAATATGATTGAGTTGGACGGTGCTGGTACAGGTCATGTTCGTGAACGGGCGCCATAACTGGAACTAGTCAGCTCCAGACAGACAAACGAAAATTCATTTTTATTTATTTGCATTTCCAACCCTGCCAAGCGTGGATCATGGCTAACCTCTCTGATGAAGAAGGATTCCAAAGTACTGTTTCAAGCTGACAATGCTGAAAGTGTTTAGAGATCAGATAATAATTTGCTAATGAAGAATGAATTCAAATGTTAATTGTGAAAAGGTTTTCTTTTGTTTGTTCTGACTTTCTCATTGTTAGCATTGAGTCTTAATTGAGTCTCTTGAATCAGCGTTTCTCTTGTAGCAATTGCCTCTTTCAGACTAACAAGTCCTTAATAAGTGCTTAATAGAACTCAGTTCTTAGTTCGGGGTAACTGTCAAAATTGGGGTTTGGCCTGTAACTGATAAATTGATAATATTATAATATTTAGACTGCCTCATTGGCCGAGTGGTTGCTAGTGCGACAAAATCAGGGTTTTTCTAAAGAAGGAAAGGCGTATTTGCATATTATAGAAATCAGGCAAAGGGTCTCGGGTTCGATACCCGGGTCGTGCAAAGTACCTATGACAAGTTTTAAAAAAAATAACTTAGAAGTAGCACTGAGTCAGGAAATGTGTCCGGTATATAAAATAGGCGCACCACCTATTACATGGGCCTCATAACATAAAT